ATATTTTGCTTGACGAAGATGGTGATTTGAAAGTGTCCGATTTTGGGCTCAGTGCCATATCGGAGCAAATAAAGCAGGATGGTCTGTTTCATACTTTTTGTGGAACACCAGCCTATGTTGCCCAGAGGTTCTTGGGAGAAAAGGGTATGAGGCAGCTAAAGTAGATATATGGTCATGTGGGGTGATTTTGTTTGTGTTAATGGCTGGTTATTTACCTTTTCATGATCAGAATATAATGGCTATGTATAAGAAGATTTATAAGGGTGAATTTCGATGTCCTAGATGGTTTTCACCTGAATTGATTCGGTTATTGACTCGACTTCTTGATACTAATCCTGATACCCGGATCACAATCCCGGAGATTATGAACAATAGATGGTTTAAAAAGGGGTTTAAGCATGTGAAATTTTATATTGAGGATGATAGGTTGTGTAGTGTTCATGATGATGATGGGGTAGATTATTCTTCTGATCAGTCGTTGTCTGAATCGGAGTCAGAGGTGGAGAGCCGGAGGAGGCTCACGAGTTTACCAAGACCCGCGAGCTTGAATGCATTTGATATAATTTCATTTTCGCCTGGTTTTGATTTATCTGGGTTGTTTGAGGAGGGAGGAGAGGGGGCAAGGTTTGTTTCGGGGGCTCCTGTGTCGAACATTATATCAAAATTGGAAGAAATTGCAAAGGTGGTGAGTTTTACGGTGAGGACGAAGGATTGTAGAGTGAGTTTGGAAGGGTCGATGGAGGGAGTGAAGGGTCCTTTGACGATTGCTGCTGAGATATTTGAATTGACACCATCATTAAGGGTGGTGGAAGTGAAGAAGAAAGGAGGGGATATGGGAGAGTATGAGGACTTTTGTAACCGGGAACTGAAGCCTGGGTTGCAGAAACTTATGGTGGAGGAGTCTGCTGAATCTTCACATTTGCCATCGGATACTGAATAGAGAGGGAAGAAGAGGAAAAGGGTATCCTCGTTTCTCTCTCTGTTTGTTTGGCTTTCCAATGACCATTGCTTATGTTGTGTTGCTCAGGTGAAGCTCTAGATGTTGCTTGTATTGTGTTTTGCTTCTTTTGTATTAAAGGTCATATCTGAAAAATGAAATACACTGTTGTTTTTTTGTGGCATCTTGGTGAGGGGGGGACTCTCTTAACATTTTCTTCTTTCATGACTTGGTGTTGAAATTTGAGGAAATGAAGTTCCCTTTATCTTGACTAGTCCAAAATAAGTTAATGTTTTTGTCCATGGCCAAACCTAAAAATTGTCTGAATTTCCTTAAAACACTTGATTGTGAAGAGAAGAGAGGAAACAAATGTATGAAAATATGCACTTTGTCTACTACAGGATCCTGTTTCTTCCCCTTCACAGCACCAAAGCAGGAACCGTGATTATCCATATGTTTTACTACATTTGTTTTAGAATCTTCTGATAGTTGCATGTAGGGCAATGGGGCTGGTAAACACACCGGTACTGTTGAAATGCTGCTCTCCATAGTTGTCATGTTATTAGTTATATGCATGGTTTGGTAGTTGATGATGGTGGAAGATAGAGTTGAATCCAAATGCGATTAGAATAAGCCGCATGAGGTTCTAAATCTGAAGTGGCCATATTTGATGAAGCTAGTTTAGAAATATGGTTTAGAGAACGGAATCCATGAGCTCTCTGTTTTGGTTCTTGGTAACTGATTGAATTTTTCAGGATCTATACTTGTGATTGAGTGAAGTTGAAACCAGTACCTGACATTCCTAATGTGTTACAAAACACTAATGTGTTATCTTCGCAGAAGATTGTATAGTGATCATACAAGGGGTAGGCATTGCCTTTTTTTAGTGAGTATTTCAGAACTACTATTTCAAAGTTTGTAGACTGGTCAGCTTTAGGTGGTATACTTTTTTGCCTTTCTGCCGTTGTTGTTTTCTGTTTCTTCTTGTGGCCATGCAAGAGAATGGAAATCTTATAGGCGAATACGGAGGTAAATGAGTTTCCCCTTCTTGCATTTATGAGCAACAATCTTAGTGGAACTTAATATTTAATTTTTGGTTTGAATATAAACCAATGCCTCTTTTGAAAAGTTCTTTAGTGTTGGAGGCTAGCGTGGAAACAGCTGTGGGCTTGGCAGGAGTAGATAGTTGAGTCAAGATTTCAAGCAAATGCAAAATTATCTCCCCTCTTTTGTTTTGCTACTTTTAGGAATTCTGGCGTTTAACTTTTTTTCACTGCTTTATATATGTAGTTTTGGATAATTAAAAGGAACCAGCAGCATGGATTTTGTGTCAACACACACGCACTTGTATTTATACAAGTCTGTAGCCTTCCCTTAGTTGCTTGAATTTCTTACTGAAAAGTTGAACTGGGGGGGTAGTTGGAAGAAACCATTTAATTTGTGGAACATAAAAATTGATAGCAGCCATATACAAAGATGATTTGAACTGTCAGAATATGATCAATGGTTCAAAGGCATTAGAGAAGGCCTTAAATAAGTGGAGCTTCTGGTAAAGAGATATTTTGATGTGGTTTTCACAATAAGTGTATTTTTAGCCTTTAAAATTTCTTTTTTTTTTTTTTTTGCCGTAACAACTCTGGTTAGGACCTTGTGTGGCTGGTGGAGTTATGTCGTGGTGATTTCCCATATTTTCTTAATTGACCTATTCTTTTGTTGAGAGTCTTGCATAGAATGAGTTGCAACTAACAAGATGACAATGTGGGTACATTGCTTTAGCTTGAGTGTATGGAAAAGTCGGTCTCACCACAATAATGGATGAAGAACTGGTGAAAAGGGAAACATCAATGAATAAGGGAAGTGGATATGGGCAAATCCTGCACAACAAATTCGACATTATCTTTCTAATTCCTTGGCTGGAATAGGCTCCAGTGGTCGTACTTAATGCCTAGAGTTTACAACTTCTCTTGCTTACCATTCTTCTATTTCTCAATCCGTACATTTACATAGAACAATAGCTCCTGCAAGACAGGGTATGGTTGTTGTTCATCTTAGAATGGAATGGAATGGAATATTTGTTAAGCATGGAAGGAGGAGGGGATGTGTTGCTGATTATAGGATGCCTAGGCGAAGCTTTGTAAGTTCATAGAATCATAGGTCGCAAACTCGGCAATGTTTGCGGCAACTAAACAAAAGCATATATTTCCTGGCTTGAGCTTGATACAACTATGGCACATTATATATAATACAGGTCATGGCTTCTCATCTCACTTCTCCCTGCTTCTCTTTTTTCTTTCTCTAGCAAGTGTAGTATATCCGACCCATTAATGGCACCTCAATCTGATGCATTGTTAATAGCCAGGTTTCGTCTACATTATTCTTGCAGAAGGTAATGTTGAACTTGGTTTTGTAATTCTTTTTAGCTCTGACAGACCAACTTACTTGACAGTAACGCATTACTTGTTTTCTCATTATTTTTTTGTTGAATGGTGGATGATACCAGAATATTCCCAGGCAAGCTACTGATGTTAGGTCACCCTTCTTGTACTATATGTAGTTTGTTGTTACTTATATACAATTTTATATGTAGATGCATGTATTTGTCTTCTTTTATACAAACAACCGGCCGATTATAACTACTAGGTATAGCAGGAGGAGCTCCCCAAAATACAAATCCATCGATAAAAATACACAACTTCTCAATCTGGCAATGATATTTAAAGTTTGATATGGCTTGTATTCTTAATCTGTGTTTCTGATATTGACATTAGGATGTTTTAAATTTTGCTTTCCTAATTATATTAAATACCGCGAATTCGATAATTTAGTATTAGCTGATCCATTTATTTACCATGTGTAACCTAAAACAATTGTTTCTTGCCAGTTTTAGCAATGTATGGGCGGGTTTTCCCTCGCTGCTGCATCTGTTTAGGGTATGGCTTGTCTGAGGGAAGGAAAAAAAAAGTTGGTAAAAAATTGGATAATTCTATATACACTAAATTTGTGCACCAAAATTTACACCAAATCAACTGCAGTCGTTGCGTCACTGATGGAACCCACTGATCTAACAACTACAAGTGATTTGGTGAAAGTTTTGGTATATATTTTTGGTGCACATAGCATTGCTCTAAAAAAAAAAAAATAAGCCAAGAAGATTGTAATTATCTGAAGCTTTATGTCAATTTGTATTCAAGTGGCTTTTCATGTAGAGTTTTGCAGCTATTTATCATGGATTCATCACTTAACAGAATTTCTGGTTAATCACAGAATGTTTTAACTTGGGAGACATTTGGGATTCATCTGAATGCTTAAAGTTTGATATTTATCTCTTTATCTCTCTTCTCCATGGAGACATTGAAATGTCCCAAATGAAGCAGAGCTTATTGGGATTAATAATGCTATTTGGGTCTGTCTGTCTGTCTGTCTGTCTCTCTCTATATATATATATGTGTGTGTATATATATATATATATATATATATATATATATATATATATATATATATATTTGGACCAATATAACATTTTTCTTGATGATTATTTGGAAGTTTTTGACTAATTGGCTAACCAAAAGTGGGGACTGAAATTGTCAATGGTGGTATGTGGTGTCTTGTTGGAAGTTAGTTGTGGTGACTACTACAGTGACTGGTGGAGATTCCACTTCCACATGAATAACCAGAAAAAAAAAAAAAAAAACCATGTCTAACTATGTGCATCCAAGACAAAAATTCAATGACATAGGCATTGGAGATTTCATGAGTCTACTATGGATTTGCAAGTCAATGTGATTAGTATATGTCGAAAAGACGTGTTTAATAAGAGCTGTCTGTGAACGAGGGTAGACACTATTTTGTGTATGATTAATCCTTCTAGATTCATTGGGATATTTCATGGATTTTGATGTTCCAAACTTAAAATTTTTTCCAAGTTTTGTCAATTTTAGTGTCTACCATTAAGGTTATTGTACCCGACAGGATTGTCAGTGGATTCCATGAGTGGGGAGCCAATGATTTAAGAGTGGAAGATATAAAGTAACTGAATTGATTAGGAGGATTTAGAAATATCAATGGATCGGATTTGCATCCATTTTGATCCGTTTTTTGAATATTTTATATATTGACAATATCTAAATTGCTTAAAATTTGAAAATATCATAAAATCTCATTCAACTCAAATTACTCAATTAGAATTATATTTTAAGAAATCATGTTTAGTTTTGTTTCGATTTCCCCAAATTTCATTGTACTTATTTACGGATCTGAGTTATATTCAAGTTACATCCAAGTTTAAACTTTATTTGTTGAAGTATAGTTTCATGAATTCCAATTAGATTCGGTTAAAAATCTCATAAAAAAAAATAATAATATGAGGGTCATTTGTTTGCCTTACATTAATAGTTGAGTCATATGAGGTGGTTGAAGGATTCGGTGGTAACCCTAACAGATAGCTCAAGCGTTAATACAAATAAGTTGTAAACTCAGGCATTTTAAGTTTAAATTTTCACAATCTCTTGAGGTCAGATTACGAGGGATTTATTCTTCATAAATACCTTAGTTCCAGTATAGATGGTTTGCGTTTGATCAGACCGAAAAAAAAATTAATCGAAATACGTATAAACTGATCTGAACATCTTTCATCATTGTTGAACTAAAAAAAAAAAAAAGGATTCGGTGGTGGCCTAATACGGCCGACTTCCTTCCTCCCCGTTGGACCTACCCCACTCCACTCCACTCCACTCCACTCCATTTAAAGTGTTAAAAAGTATGAGTGTTTTGTCATTTTAGGTGGAAGAGTCATGGGGGATCTATTGGATGGACCACATTGAATCTCTAATGCAATATATTGGAAATGAGCTTTCAAGCCATTTTCTTTGCAGATCTGACTTTTACACTGCTGACTGCTTTTTTTTTTTTTAGTGGTGGTAATGCCATGATGGTGATGTGAAATAGTGATATTCAAAGTAAGGAAGTGAAGTGTTATTTTCTCTGATCAGCTATCTTCCAATTGA